TGAATTAAAATATTGGTGGTCCGAAACTTGTGGTGAAAAAACGATACTAAGATATCCGGTACCTAAAAGGTGAACATTGCTCGTTATCGTATTTACAGCATTTAGTTGACGGGGGAGTAGATAGTTTTAAATGGTCATCCCGTTCTCCTTAGCTCACATCAGCTCACGATCAGAATTTCAACCACGGTATGAGAACGTCAAGGGTGCCCTGAAATTGACCAGGCAAGAGAACAGAGTTCCCTGACGGAAGAGACGGGATCTCCTTGTGTTTCTTGGGGGATGAGGAGGTCGGAATGATGGAATTGAAGGCGTAGCTTTGAAAGTGAAATAGGATTCGGTGGTTATGTGAGGTTTTGAAAAAGTTTTTGATAAGTTTTCCTTTCTATAAAGTTTCCGAGCACGTAGACCTAACGAAAAATTCGAAATTTCTGCTGCTTTTCTTGTTTGGGGTAGGGTAGAACATGGTCGCAGCGACTCCGCGCGGTCGAGCCTACTTTTTTTGGTTCTTCTCACTTTCTCTTTTCTGTGCACAATGATATTAATGCACACTTTCCCTTTCTAATGAAGCTGAATATAATGTATTTTCAAAGTTATTATCCAACAAATCGCGGTATAGCACGCTTTACATAGCGGCACTTAAGGGTACGGAACTCTCCAAGGGACTGAAGAGTTTGTACCTCGAATGAGAAAATTGGCGTCAAACCCGATTCAGACGGTCTGAAGGTCCAACGTATATCGTGGACGGGAGGCATTTGAGTTCTTTATTTAAAATCTCCAACCAGACAAACCACCTGTCGTAGAAAAAACCCTGTAGAGAGGGATTTTTTGGTCATAGTTTTGAAAGAATTTTTGGCACTATTGCACTATTACAACCCCAGAGGGGGTGAGATGGGTCAAAAAAATTTTCGCTGAAACTTGCATGGGGGTTATCGAGGGTCCTGATCACGAATATGATATTCATTTTTGGCGCTGGCGCCAATTGGCGCCAGTGGCGCCACGACTGATTCTCACTAAATTCGCTGTAAACTTCTATATAGGGGTTATTTGGGGCCTTGATTACGAGTGACTTTCGTTTTACCGTTGGCGCCCTTTGGCGCCCAACGATAAGGCGAATGAGTTAGCATTGGGAAGGCGGAGTTGGTGTCGCGCAAGCCTCGAGGTTAGCTAAAGGGTATTGTGCTAGCCAAATTTCCTAGACTTTTTCCACCTCCCGTTTCCATCATTCGCTCGTTGTGGCAGTATGATATAGAAACAGGTACAATAAAAATTCTGTAAAATTCTTCTGAAGATAAGCTGCCGATCATATTCACCACGATCTCTACTAACAAGTCTAATACGTCCGTTACATTGAAGGCACATCTCACGATCAACTGATGTACTTCTCGCAGACAAAGGTGGAAGTAGTGAAAAAGAGAAAAGAACCTGCCGAAATAGCAAAATTGGAGCTGATTTTTGTAATCCAGCTATGCTATGGCAGTGAAACACTGAACGAAGACGAGTGAGAGGGAAAGGAGCCCAACAGATGAGTGGATGCAGATACCTGCGTTGCGAACGTGGGAAAATTATAGCGATCGCAGCAGTTTTGATAACGTCCAGTGTGCCCGTCGAGCACTTTTAAGCCGAGAGCTCTATGTGCCCACCAAAGAGATTTATCCACCTAGACTCATGGCCGGGTTCTTATGGTTGAGAACGCTGGCTGACCCAACGCTTGGTGTAGCACTTTGGAAAAGGTATGTAATCAAGGTGAAATTGAAGGGTTGGGAAGAGGATTAACCCTTGCGTTTGCCCGATTTTACAGTTTCTATGACCCCCTCCCGGGGTCTCCCTTACGCTCCTTTGATTCCCAACATCACCATCAAAGGGTGTCTCGCAATACCTCCCTTGGCTTCACCATCTCCAGCACCATAGCTTTGTCATTTGTATTTCACTTCATCTTATTCTGGCACCACCTGAAAAACTCCGACTTAGCCTTGTTGGTTGTCTAGCGTGGCGGTGAATGGAGTCAGGGAGGGGTGGTCGCAACTGGGGCCGTGTGCTCCAGTACCTGGCCAGGATGGGTTTCAAAAGCACTGTGTCTGGTCCATAACGCAGTCGTCATGCTCAAGAATAGGGGGATGCGTCCAGAGATGCAGGGTTTTGGGGACCCATCCCCGCCTGGGTACTGCTGCACACACCTGTGATCTTTTTGAACCCAAATTGATTCGAAAAACAATAGAATTCATCAGGTGGATATATACTATTGTATGTGTCCACGTGATAAATTCTGTCGTTTCAATTGAGGTGGAACGTTAGTCGTTAAAGTTCGCAAAGAAGTTAATGACCGGATTAACACGTTGACGACATCGCGCGTTTTGGGTTTCGCATCGCGTGGGACAAGGGCGCTTTCGCGAACGCGGCCGTCACACCTCACACCCGTGAATTTTGATTAGTTGGTCCCGCGCAGTCGCAGGGTCCGCTGTCTTTATCAGTCGTCGCCACTTCGCTCTGTCTAGGGCATCTTCTGCTGTGGCCGTGATTTCACTCAGGTCCTTCTTGATTACGTCCTTCCACCTCTTCTTTGGGGCACCTCGCGGTCGCTTGCCTTGCGCTTCGAAGTCCATTGCTTTCCTTATTGGGTGGTCCTGTGGCCTCCTTAGCACGTGCCCATACCATCGCAGACGCTGTTCCCGTACCTTCAGCTGGACAGGGGCAGTCTGCATGACCGCTCTGACGTCCTCGTTTCTAACCTTGTCCAGCCGCGTCCAGCCGCAGGCCCATCTCAGCATCCTCATTTCGGCAGAGTGGAGCTGCCTTTCCTGATTCTTGTTCAAGGCCCAGCACTCGCTGCCGTAGAGCATCGCAGGCCTTACCACTGTCCGGTACACACCTTCCCTTTGAGCGCTCTGGAGCACCTTCGATCGCAGAGGATTCCAGTGGACTCCCTCCATTTCATCCATGCAGCGTTGACCCGAGCCTTCACCGCCTGATCCACACTACCGTCGGCTGCCAGATCGCTCCCAAGGTATCGGAAGTCCTCCACCCTTTCGATGGTCTCACCATGGCCGTCCACGATCGGCTCTGCACCCTCTTCGGAGCTCAGGAACTTGGTCTTCTTGACATTCAGCCGTAGCCCACCTTCTGTCAGGACTTTCTGCCATTTCTGCACCTTGGCTTGAAGTTCCTCTCTACTATCAGCTATCAAGGCGACGTCGTCAGCATAGAGGATAGTCTTCAGTGGTCCCTCCATGAGCCCCTTCACCAGGCCATCTAGTGTTAGGAGGAAGAGGAACGGGACTCAGAGCTGGGTGCCGGGACTTTTGGTGCGTCCGAGGTTGCACGCGGCGAATCGCGCGGCGGGCTGAGCGGCGATCCGGACGAAGGCAAGTTTCGCAGGCTCCTGCAGTGGAATTCAAGCACGTCAGAACGCGCGTGCAGATCGCGGATAAAATCCACAAGGTTCTACGATCCGAATTGCATTCTAACTCTAACGCAGGATATTCAAAGGCAGTGGCAGGAAGACAAGAAAAGGAATAGCGAAAGGCTGTTATAGCAATCAGGTCGCTTAGGTTGCTGGCGCTTGTTGTTAAGGGAAGGAAGGGAAATCCCAGGCCA